ATTTACTCAAGCTCTCCATCTAGGTTATGATTTGTTTCCCTCTGTCCTCTTGCCATCCCTCCAAAACTTGTTCCCCCATCCATTTACTCAAGCTCCTAGGTTATGATTTGTTTCCCCATCCCTCTTGCCATCAATCCAAAACCTTGTTCAGCTCCATTTACTCAAGTTCCATGGTTTTTGTTTCCCTCTGTCCCTCTTGCCATCAATCTCCAAAACCTTGTTCCACCATCCATTTACTCAAGCTCTCCAGCTAGGTTATGATTTGTTGTTTCCTTGTGTCCATTTACTCAAGCTTCCTCTTTGCCATCCCTAATCTCCAAAATCTTGTTCCCCAATTTACCTTGTTCCCCCAATCTCCAAAACATCCATTACTCAAGCTCTCCAGCTAGGTTATGATTTGTTTTGTCCCTTTGCCATCAATTCCCTTGTGTCCCCCTTTACTTAGGTTATGATTTGTTTCTATGTCCCTCAATTTCCAAAACCTTGTTCCCCATCCATTTACTCAAGCTCTCCAGCTAGGTTATGATTTGTTTCCCTCTGTCCCTCTTGCCATCAATCTCCAAAACCTTGTTCCCCCATCCATTTACTCAAGCTCTCCAGCTAGGTTATGATTTGTTTTCCTCTGTCCCTCTTGCCATCAATCTCCAAAACCTTGTTCCCCATCCATTTACTCAAGCTCTCCAGCTAGGTTATGATTTGTTTCCCTCTGTCCCTCTTGCCATCAATCTCCTCTCTTGTTCCCCATCCATTTACTCAAGCTTCCAGCTAGGTTATGATTTGTTTCCCTCTGTCCTCTATTGCCATCAATCTCCAAAACCTTGTTCCCCCATCCATTTACTCAAGCCTCCATCTAGGTTATGATGATTTGTTTCTCTGTCCCTCTTGCCATCAATCTCCAAAACCTTGTTCCCCATCCACAATTCCAAAACCTTGTTTCCTCAGGTTAAGATTTGTTTTTTTTTCCCCCTCAATCTCCTCAACCTTGTTCCCCATCAAGCTCTCCAGCTAGGTTATGATTTGTTTTCTCTCTGTCCCTCTTGCCATCAATTTCCAAAACCTTGTTCTCTTTACTGCCTTCAATGATTTGTTTTCCTTGTCCTATCAACCCAAAACCTCCCCATCAATCTTCATTTTCCCCCATTCATTTACAAGGTTATGATTTGTTTCCCTGTCCCTCTTGCCATCTAGGTTATGATTTGTTTTCCTCTGTCTCTCTTGCCTTCAATCTCCTCAACCTATTTCCATCAATCTCCAAAACCTTGTTCTACCATCCATTCACTCAAGCTCTTCAGCTAGGTTATGATTTGTTTTTTTCTGTCTCTTTTGCCTTCAATCTCCTGAACCTTGTTCCCCCATCCATTTATACAAGCTCTCCAGCTAGGTTATGATTTGTTTTCCTCTGTCCCTCTTTCCTTCAATCTCTTAAATCTTGTTCTGCCATCCATTTACTCAATCTCTCTATGCAGGTTATGCATACTTTTACTCTGGCCCTCTTGATTTCAATCTCCTATACCTTGTTCCGCCATCCATTTACTTAATCTCTCTAGGTTGGTTATGCATAGTTTTCCTCTGGCCCTCTTGATTTCAATCTATACCTTGTTCCGCCATCCATTTACTCAATCTCTCTAGGTAGGTTATGCGTTGTTTTTCTCTGTCCCTCTTGTCTTCAATCTCTTAAACCTTGTTCCACCATCCATTTACTCAAGCTCTCCGGGTAGGTTATGCGTTGTTTTCCTCTGTCCCTCCTGCCTTTAATCTCCTAAACCATTTGCTCTAGTTTTCTAGGTAGGTTATATGTTGTTTTCATTTGTCCCACTTGCTTTCAATCTCCTAAACCTTGTTTCGTTCTCCATTTACTCAATCTCTCTAGGTAGGTTATGCGTTTTTTTCCCTCTTTGCCTTTTGCCTTTAATATCCTAAACCTTGTTCCGCCATCCATTTACTCACTCTCTCTAGGTAGGTTATGCGTTGTTTTCCTCTGTCCCTCCTGCCTTTATTCTCCTAAACCATTTGCTCTAGTTTTCTAGTTAGGTTATGTGTTGTTTTCATTTGTCCCACTTGCTTTCAATTTCCTAAACCTCATTCAACTATCTCTCCCTGATGTTAAGTACAAGTTTGCTATTTGTTTCCATTGTCTCTTAAAATTCTGTGTTGATCATATTTTTGGTCCATGCTATCCTCAACATCCTTCTTTTGACCATATTTTTTTTTTTTTTTTTACAATTGTCTTCATCTTTGAGGAGATTGTCCAGCATTCACTGCCATATAGGTTAACTGATTTTGCATAACATTTTAGTAATGTTTTCATTGTTTCTTATGAAATTTTTCTGTTTTTTAATACTTTGCTTTTGGAAAGAATTTTCCATATCCTAATGGGCTTTCCAATTTCAGTATTTCAATTTCCATACTCTGTTAAAAGTCTTTTTAGATATTTACATTTTGTACTTATTTGATTTTGATATCCCCAATTTGTAATTTGCGTTTTGGTCTGTTCCCTTTTGCTGACAACCATTCAGTCTATTTCTTTGCAATTTATATTTAGTCCTTTCTTTCCACTTTACTTCATTATCTTCTGTACGAGTTCTTGTAGTTTACATGTCTGCTATCAACACTGTACCACCAACATATCTTACGTTAAGATTGTGGCTACCAGTAATGTATCCTGGGAGAACTTCTAATTCTCACCCCTCTATATAGGTTTAATAAATCCCGTAAGAACCTAGTCATGGCTGTCAGATAATTTTTATGACTACATCACCCCATTACATCTAGCCCCCTAACTCCCCAGGCTATAACCCCACTGATTATGTGTGGAACACAGTTGAGCAAGAGACCAACAAAACTCCTATATCTGTTAAAATGAAATGTCAATGTTATTTTTACATTATTTAGATGACAATTTATCCATCACACCTTGTACATTCCCTATGATTATTATAATTTAAAATAATATTAGCAGTTGAAGCCTTTATTGTAATAAACAAGGTTTTTCCAACAATATGGCATACATGTATAGTGAAATTACAAATGTAAAATTAAACAAAAATTACTCAAAAACGCATTAGACTTTTTATCAATTTTACTCAGTACCAAAAATTAATAATGGCAGACAATGCTCTATGTAATAAAAAGTCAAAATCATATTTATTTGCAATTTAAAGAAATTTAATGTTCATAGGAATAATTCTTTTACTGGATTTACCAAATGTTTTGTTGATTATAAACAAATCTTTTTTTTTTCTAGTTTCAGGTTCCCTTCAATCCACTTACACAGAGATGAGTAAGGTAACGGATGGCTTTGTTCGTGAGCATTATTCAGTTACATTTGCCAAGCAGCAAATACTTTTTATCAAGAAACGAATGACTAAGCTGAAGAACCTATTGCAACTTATGAAATATTGGACTAAGGTTGATGCAAAATCTTTTGTAAGTTCTGCATTTTTATCAATCGAAATTGTTTGTTCTGTTTAAACCTTAGAACCATAGTAAAAAAGGTTGCTTTCTTTAGCCCCCACACTGGGAAGAGATTATATCTGCGTCCCAACAGTTAGCAAGTCCATGGTGCCCTTTCCATTTAGGGATATATCTTTTCCAGATATAGAAAGAAACTCCAGCTTGCAGTCCTCAATTTGGGAAAACTCAAGACTTGCTGTTCCTGTTCGTGGATTATATGCTCACCTGGGACATAGAGGAATCTACCCTGTTTGAATCTGGATTCTTAAAAATGGCTTCTCCAGACACATTAGTATCTTTATATTATATGGAAGACAGTGTTATTATATCACAGATATAATAATGCCCATAATGGGGAAAATACAAATTGAAGAATAAATATTTCTTTTATAGCCCTCTCCCATTACAGTGGTGACTATGATGTGATCATGTGGTCTTATTTACCTGACATGTGATATTATTATCACCCATTAACTATTTTATGTTATTTATTATTTTACCTACATTAACCACATTGGGATTATTAATTCTGAAACAAAATAAACATGAAAGTAACTTCTTTTTTTATTTTGTTTTATTGCTTAGAAACAGAGTAACTTTTTATGATTATAAAAATAGAAAAAATTAACCGTCAAAAATGTGTAGTTTAGCAGCAGGGTTAGGGTTAACATTTTATACACCTTGTTTACAATATCTAAAGATAACGGATTAAATTTATTGATCTCATGATATTAACTTTGTACAACAACATTCATAATAAATGATATAAGAGAAAGATGTGTCTTCTCACTGGAGTTTGTCAACCTATACAACATGGGAATTCTGTGAGAATTAGAAGTCCTACAAGGATTAATTATTGGTGGCCACACACTCAACAACATGAGATATGCCGGTGACACAGTATTGATAGCAGACATTGAAAGAAAACTACAAATACTGTATTTTTGCGTTTACAAGGCACTGTGGCTTGGAAGATGCACCCTAATATTGGAAAGAAATTTCTAAGAAAAAAGTAATTCTAATACAACAACTGCAGTTTTATAACTCAAAAATAATCTCTTTCCATCTACCACTCCCTCCCCCTATTAGTCCGTTGATGAGAGGTTTGTCTGCCCTTCCCTACGATCTTTTCTTCCTTATTTATTTCTCTCTGTTATCTTGAAAACACAAGATACAACAAACACATTGTATCATAGTGGCTTTACTGCCTTGCACGGGGTGATACAGATTAAAAAAATACAGATTATGCAAAAATATATGAAGTTGATAATTCATGTGTTTGATTTTATTACCAAAAGTTTCACATAAGAATAATAACTTTAAGTGAAGAATCAAAAAGGTTAGCATATAGGTTTGTCTTGCACGAGAGTCGAAAAGGTGGACATTAGTTTGAGGTGCACTATTCTACTCTTTCACTCTGTCTTATGAAAAAGTTAGAATGTCAGAGATATATTAATGCCTATATTGGATCTTGGAGAGTGAAGAAGCCTAAGCTATTTCCTTTCACTTTTCCAAATATCTAATTGAATGTATTAAATGTTTTTCAGGGTTGCAAAAAGTTTCCATCCTATGCAATGAGTTTGATTGTCATCCATACTTGGGAAGAGCATGGTAAACCACAGAATTTTAAAATGGAAAAGGCATTTAAAGCAGTTCTTACAACTTTGTCCAATTATAAGCAGCTCCATAAAGTCTGGTTTGATTATTATGATCATTGCACCTGGCAGCGCTTTGGTGGGTGTCCAAGGTAAGATTTTTTCTTATTTCTTCTAAGTTACACTTTCTGTGTCTTGCTTGAGATCATGCTAGAAGAGATGTTGCATTTCAAAAGGTTAACCATGAGAGATGCCTTTCTGGCAGCCAAGTGGAGATCCACATGATAGGCACAGCTGCACCTGTAATGTACATGTCAGAGGGAACTTTTTTTTCAATCGTTTCACCCCAAGAAATGCACTAATGCCACTAGAACATGAGAGATGCAGGGAGGAATGACAAAAAAGACCAAAAGGGAACAGGTTTCAAGAAAATGGAAATGGGCAATTCATGTTGCCCTAAAGTTTTTAAAGATTATAGCAATCAGGGAAGAAAGAAAAGTTAAGCAAGACTGGTCAGTACTTAACTGGGTGACCACTTAGGAATACCAGGTGCTCTAAGCTTGGATGTGTGGATGGTGTAATTGATAATGGATTGGAAGTGTTAATCAGCGAGATGAGTTCCCATTTCAGTTAGGTTTGTTATATTCGTTTACATGCAAATACCCTTGTGAAAGGTATGAATCCAACTATTCTTCTCCCCCATCTATGGGTTAATTAATAATACTTTTCACAGTAAACCATTATTATCTCCAAACATATTTAGATTTTGGCATTAACAGATGTTGATATGTGTCTAAGCAAAAAAAAAAACAAGTTGGTGATCACATCAGATCATGTGTTTTCTCCCAGAAACTGTAACTAAGGTACACTCAGCATAATTGCAATATAAACCAAAAATTGGTTTGGTGCATATTGAAGAATCATGTGACTGAGCAAGCATCTGCAACAGGGACCCAATCTGTCCCATTATTTAACTGCAAGTTTTGGGGCAAAGTGATGGATTCATATTTCCAAAGTATATTTGAGCATAAATAAATGTAACTAACTTGACTGGAATTTGAACTTGGCTCTTGAAATTCTCATTCTGAGCTGTTATCTATCACACCACCCCCATATCCAAGCATGCAGCACTTGGTATACCCAAACAATCACCACTCTAGTTATTGATCAGGCTCAGTGTTGCTAAGGTGATTGTACAAGAACTGTTGTTTCAATGTGATATTGATATCTTTCAATGTGATATTGATATCTTTCAATGTGATATGGCGACCATAAGCTTTATTTTAAGGTAGAGCATGGTGCTGATACTTATTAAGTGATCGATGAATTTTTGAATAAAAAAATGAATTGAAGTAATTTACAAATAAATAAATACATGTCTCTACCTTTTTCTTCTTCTCTTACATCCTCCTGGCTCAAAGAGTGGGACGTTTAGTTAGAACAAAAGGAAGCTTCTAACTTCACTCTTTTTTTGACTTTTCTTGTTCATTCAACTTTAACCACTCAACTTGCTTTCACTTCATCCTTCCACATTCTCTGTACATGTGTATAGAACTAATAAAGATATGGTAGACAGAAACAGTGGCCTTCTCTGCTTAGAGTACTCTAATAATATTGTTTGTTCACAATTTATCAAAGCAATGGGATATTTAAAAAAACTTATCGTCAGTGCTTGCAAGATAGTTAAAATTATCAATAATCAAATTTTATGACTTGAAAATACTTTATCTTTAAAAAAATCTAAAGTATTCATTTCATATTTACACTGTTTGCATTGTTTAGACTACTGTCCTCATTTTTATTGTTATATTCAAAACATTTTGGCCATTGCACAGGTGATATATCTTTGAATTTCAAATTGATCCCTTTATTTCATCCACCAGAGAAACTTGATCTCGTTCTACGTGCCATGCCTTTTCTGGATATCTCAGTTTTAGTTAGCTCCTTTTAGTAACTCAACTCTCCAAGTTTTTGTTTATCTCAACTGTGGCCAGGTATTGAACTGATAACTCTTTAGGTCAAGTTTACTTCAACCAATGCTTTTATCCACTGGGCCATGTGCCCCAGGGAAATAGAACAATCTACCCTGGTGTCCGAAATAAAGGGTTCAGTTAGAATTTCCAGTGTATATCACCTGAAGAAGGCTGAAGCATACAATGGACAAAACATTGTGAATATAACAATAATGATGAGGACAACAGTCCAAACAATGAAAATAGTTACAACACATCATCTCAGAAATATAGACAGTCATTCAGTTCTTATGCAGTATGTATGAAACCTTTGTCACTGTCCATAATAATTGTTAAATTTGCATACTTGTTTCTTATGCTAACTGGTATTATTATGAAATGTTGTCTTGAAAAAAGAAACTATCCCTCCCCACTGTACTGCAAGGGAAATTAATGGACTCCTCGGGCTTAGTACAAAGGTTCAAACAAACACAAGACTGGAAAACAAAAAGGTGCCATAGTGAAAGATGTTACATATGTTAACATCTACCTGGACAGACTATAACAGTTGACCAAGATGAAGCAATGGATATCATCTAGCAGATCCAAATCTCACAGCTGAAGAAGATGATACATATGTTAACATCTACCTGGACAGACTATAACAGTTGATCAAGATGAAGCAATGGATATCATCTAGCAGATCAAACACTTACAGCTGAAAAAGATGTTATATATGCTAACATCTACCTAGACAGATTATAACGGTTGATCAAGATGAAGCAATGGATATCATCTAGCAGATCAAAACCTCACAGTTGAAAAAGATGTTACATATGTTAACATCTAACTATGTGGACTATTACTGTTGGTTATAATGTAGCAATTGCTAGCATCTAACAGATCAGATTTTTATAATCTCAGAAGATCTTGCATAGGTTAACATCTAGCTGATAGTCTATTGCAGCAAGCAGAACATACATTTTTCCATAGCACCAGATGTTGCAGATTTTAACATATGTGACATCTTGTACATCTGTAATAGTTTTGTCTGCTAGATGTTAAGCTTTTTAGTATATTTATCTTGCATTCATACAAGTGATTTCTTTTCTGGACAAATTAAGTAGTTATTTCTTGCACGAGTGAACAACAGACTCCATTTCTCTTCCATCCCCACAGACAGTAGATCTCCTTCAAGAAGGGGCTGGGATGATTATCCAGTGGTTAAGGCATTGCCAAAATAAGGAATGTGCAACTTTGGAATGGCTTTCTGAAATCCCACATTAAATTCTAACCTTATATCACATTCTGTTACAACGTGTGTGTGCAGATCAATAATTACTCTTTTAACATTGACAAATCTAAAAATATTCTCTCTTTCCTTTCTATAATAAAAAAATTAATTTATTTTGAAAAAATCCATAGAAGATAATTTTTTTATTTTGTTTATGAAAATACAAATGAAAACACATTAAGTTTTTCTATTCATTATTGAAAAAAGTTCAGAGTAAAATTGTGTGTTGTGATATTTTCTTTCAATTTTTCCATCTTTTTAAAATTCATATTTTTTTAAAATTTCATTGCAGACCTTATTTAATTGATCCAGCCAATCCTGATGCAAACGTCATTAATTCTGTATCAAACTGGGACGCAGTTGTTAATGCTGCCAAATGCACTCTTGAATCACCATTACTGTGGAGAGTTTGTGATTCACCAAACTGGCAGTAATTAATACCCAGAAATATCAAATAAGTTTCAGTATATATATATATATATTTAAGCTAACCTTAAATCCTGTGGTGTATCAGCACTGGCAAATCAGCTAGTATATAGATCACAATAGGCTAACAACAGCTTTGATAAGATAAATACCAATGTAAATATTTCTAGTTTAAACAATTCCCATCATAATGAGCAACACACAGAAGTAACAAGTAATGTAAACAAATCTTTCAGTCTTGGTTTGTAGAGCAATGGGTGTGTTCACACCAATCATACTTTCTCCAAATAGTGCTAAATAACAACATTTAGTATAGCATAAAATCTATATTTCTAATTCAAATTCATTATCATTTTAGTGTTAAATAACAATATTTAATATGCAAACTTTATTTTTACAATTACATACATTATATGATATTTTTTGTGATATCAAGCAACAAAACATTTAAGTTGCCATAAAATCTTATTTTCTCATTACAGAATAAAAAGTAAAATACCAACATATATAATTAAAACTCTTCAAAATTATTATGATCATCCGCATCTGAGGCAAAGAACTCGACAACGTGATTTACCGTTTTGTCAGATGGGTTTCACTCAGTCATATTATGGATATCAGATAAAATCACAAAAATTTACCAAGATTTAGGGTCTCATTTTATCTCTAGATCGCCTTATATTTGGAAATATACAGTGTGTGTGTGTATATATATATATATATATATATATATAGTGTGTGTGTGTGTGTGAAATCACCATATTTCCTCTGTACAAATCTCATTGATTTGTTTATGGATATTTGTTTTAAAATTTTATTAGGTATTAAAATTTTTCAAACTAACTTCAATGTTTTTAAGTACAACAAGAGCCATGGTACCATTTTCTTTTCTTAGAGTTTTTCACTTTTTAAAATGTTCATACTGAATGACTGAAGAAAAAAAAATTTAAGCATCCAACTAATTTTCATGGATTCCATCTTACATCCTTCATTTGGATATTACATATCAATCATTTTCGAATATATATATATATATATATATATATATATATAATAAATTAACTGTTGTGGTTACAATGTTTTGTAAATAAACATTCTCAATGCAAGAGATAGAAAATTGCAAAATGGAGTAAAATGTTAGTCAACCCAAATGTATTTTAAAACATTGCTACTATAATCATAATAAATTCTGTTTAGTGTTGGTTTGTTGCTTTAGATATAGGGGGCCTTGACAATTTCATAAAAAATGTGTGTCCTCTGAATGGAATCAAACCTGTATCTTACACTGAACTGTCATTTGACTTGATGTGCTATACCATTTAGCTACAGAGGAAACATATAGTTAGCAAAATCAAATTACTGCTTTTAAACAAACAAATTTTTCATGGAGGATACATATTTTCTACAAAATTTCTCAGATATTCAGGCCAGTAAATGTAATTAATCCTGTTTATTATGAACAGAACATTTGCTTAAATAACTGTATCTATAAAAATAAAATATAAACAAAATATATATTAAAATAATTGTTGGACCTTGTCCATTTCATATATATATATATATATATATATATATATATATATATATATATATCCAAGTATAGGATTGGTGTATACAGAATAAATTCCAATAACCAAAAATTACTATTCTTAAAAGAGTGCTCGATACAGAGTAAAGCAAATATAATTATTTATTTAAAATTGTAACATATTTATGTTATAATTTTAAATAAATAATTAAATATATATATATATATATATATATATATATATATATATATATATATATATATATATATATATATATATATATATTAGAATCCAACAAATTGATAAGATGAGAAAGAAATAGGAAACATTTATAAATTTAAGATATTTTACTTTTATTGTTGCACTGGGAGTAGAAATCTTTAGTTTCGGTTTGGATTTGCAATAATTTGCTGTTGTAGTTGGCTTAAGAAAATTTTGATTTTTCCATTTGGAATAACTTTAGCCCATTTAATTGTTGTAATTTTAAAATTTATTCATTTTATTTTTTTCTGACTTAATATGTTATGTTTCCATTGCAAAAGTAAACATTTTTTGTGTAAAATTCACTATAGAAATTTCATTTATGAAACTTTATCTTGTTACTTGGAAGATAATTTAAAATTTTTTAATTAAAGCTTCTGTATGAAATTTTGATTAATAAAAGCAAATACACTGGCAATCTTCTTTGTAATTTTTGCATAATTTGTATTTCTCTTTTCTGAGAAATTTTAAAATAAAATCTTCTGTCTATTTTGTCTTATTTTTTCTCTTATTTTTAAGCATTGTGTTTGTTGATTACCTCCCTTGATCTTGCATATAAATAGCCTCCATATTGGTTGAAACAGGCTCTTTGTAAGAAGGTAAAATGGTAGCAGTGTAGTCTCGATCTTCTAGAGCTCAGAGTTATGAACCCAGCACACTTCCACTATTATATAGGATGAGAAGAGGATGTAAGGTAATGGAAATTAAAAGAAGCCTTGTACTATTTAGGATATATGACAAGAATAGGACATAATGATAATTAAAAGAGGCCTTGTACTATTTAGGACATTCAAAGAATATGATGTCATGGTAATTAAAAGGAGCCTTGTACTATTTCGGACATATGACAATGATTTAAAAGAAATAGCAAAGGGAATGTAGTAACTTGTTTTCTGGCAAAGTAGACCACCCAAAAGCTGGATGTGTGGTCAGTTTCTTCAAAGGACTATACTTTTATCATTATCTAAAATCATTGATAAAATTTTATGTTTGCCAATTCAAAGGCGGATTGGAGACAGGAATTCTGAAAACGGACTGAAGATAAAATACCTAAGAAACCCCAATAATTGAGTGGACTCAAGAGGAAAAGGAATTTATCTACTTATCTCTTAACGATGTGTGAGAAATTGTAATGTTATCGAAACCTATTTTCCTGAAATCAATATTTTAATAGAAAGATTTTATGAAAAGAGAAAATAATGACATAATGTAAATGCTGACATTCCACACCACTTCCAACAGAAGGTTAGCAAGGAAACTCACATCAATAGTGGAAAGAGCAACAGCAGCTACTGGACTAGAGAAACTCATTTTTCTGAAAGATTGTTTTAAGAGAAAGATTTTATGAATTTCAACTGAAAGTAGCACGGGCTGCTCTGTCAATGAATGTCGTTCAAAGTAGATAAAGTTTAGCTATAATGAGTGAAGGCAGATTTAACACGATTGTTCTTTTGTATGTTCACAAAAACATTCAGTTAGTCTATGAGAAAATCATGAACCTTTGCAAATAAGAATCGACGAAAACTGATTTTAGTAAATCCTCTTTCATAAATGCTATATATTCACAATTTGAATCTAAAAGTTTGAATTTATAATTTTACATATCAAATAAATAAAATAAAATATAAAATAAAATAAATTTATATATATATATATATATATATATATATATATATATATAGGCGACCCACTGATTCTGCTGCTTTTGTTTCAACGTTTCTGTACCTTCAGTATCTTTAACGCTTTATTTAAAAAAAGTTAATGAACGCTATATTATTTAAAAATAAATAAATAAACGCACGACGTGAGATGTGATAAAGAGGAGGAGGAGAAAAACAAGTGAAGGTAATTTTAAAAAGAGGTGGTATAATCACAAGTCATCTTTTAAGTTAGAAAGTCTTAGGAATTCTATTAGACCAGGCAACCGTTCGAGTTGATAAAATCAGTTGCATTGTCAAGTTAAAATGCAGGTGAAAGAATTAACTTTCCCACCTAACGATGTCTCGTGCAGGTCTCAGGTCATGGGATTTTTTTTTATTCTCGTGAATATTTACTATTAATTTTACTGTTATTTTTGTTTGGTCAAGGGCTGATAACTTTTTGTCTCTCACAAAAAAAAAAAAACGGAAAAATACAAAATTGAAATTGAGGTGAAAAACAAAATTATTGAGATATATATATATAACTCTGTCCATGGTTTTTTTCTATAATGTCTAAACTGAATCCCCACAAAGCATGTGGACAGGTATCTTTGTAATTGTCCTTAAGAAATGTACTCCTGAAGTGGCTCCTCTTATTTGTAAACTCTAAATACCTTGCTGCGTCTTCCTTTCCTGTTTGTTGACAATCCTCTTCTATAGTTCTAGTCTTTAAGAACTTAGTTGAACCGTCTGACTCTTCTAACAATTGGCCTATTAACCTTCTACCACTTTTTGGCAAATCACTAGATGCTCTAATTAACTCTGAATTGGTTAAGCATCTCAACTTGCAGGGCCTTGTTTCAGATAAGCAATAGAACTTTCACTTCTCTATGTCAGCTTCTGTGTTGGATATCTAGAAGGCATTTGATAGTATACTGGTCTTCTTCACAAGTTCAAAGGTTATGGTATTTCTGAATGAATTTTTTAACTGGTTCCGTCTCATCAAATCATTGAGTGAAAGTTGTCTTGAATGGCCACTCTCCTAGTTCTTATTACGTTAATACAGGTGGTTCTCAAGATTCTATCCTTAGAACTACGTCATTCCTAATTTTCAATAAATGACATTCCTGATGTCATCAATTCTCAACTCGATATCTATGCCGATGACACAACTATTTATTCCTGTCTTAATAGTTAGTCTGATCGGTTCAATAAAGTCAAATTGGCAGCTGATGTGAAAAATAACTTACAATCTGTTGTTAAATGGGGCAAAGAGTGGCTTGTTAATTTTAACACCTTCAAAAGGGAACGGCTCTCTGTTAATCATCTGAGAGAACCCATTTTATCTTAGATCAACATGGCGGATGTTAAGAGTGACTCATTTTCACCTTTTCATATTAACGTTTTCCATTGATATGAAGTTGAAAGATCATATTGATTCAATTGCTAAGGCTGCAGTTAGGAAACTTTGTTCACCGTATCGTGCTAGACAATTTTTCTCACCAAAACCTATCTTATATATTTATAAGTCTACTAGTCATCCGTGCTTTGAATATGGCTGCCATATCTGGTTTGATACTCCCGTTATATATTTAGAGATTCTTGATAGAATCCAAAATTATAATCTGCAATTTTATTCGTCCAGACCAGGCATCTCGGCTTCAGTCACTTTCCGACTGCCATAAACATAGCTTCCCTGTACTTTTTATACAAATACTTTCATGGTAATTGTTTGAATGAACTTTCCTCTATAGTACCTAGATTATTGAATTTAAGCACAGTACTAGATTGGCGGTAAGATCTCATTCTTTTATAGCTGAAATGGCTTGATGTAACCGTAAGTTCTATGCTAATAGTTTCTTCTCTCGCCTGTGGAACTCTCTTCCGGATTCTTGCTTTTCAGTCAAGTTTGATCTGAAAAAATTTAAATGTAATGTTAATTGCTATCATCTCTCTTCTTAATTCTTTTATTGTTCCCTCTCTTTAATAGTGTTTTTTCTCATATTCTCTAACACTTGCGTCTTAGTGGCTTTATTGCCTTGCTTGGTGAAAATAAAAAAAAGGTAATATTCTCTTTTTTCCTATCTTCTTATTCCAGTCGTGGAAGTGTAAACACCGGTTTTGGCTTCCTGTTTGCTAAAATGAAATGGACATAGACGACAAACCATAAAATATTTTTCTCATCTTTTAATAATCCCTGTTGGTCTCTCCACTAACTTTGTATCTCCACCTTCACCTCATCCCCTCCCTTCACTCCTCTTTCTTACTTTTCTCCCCCTTCACCCCTCTTTCCTTTTCTACTCTCCATTCACATCCTCTTTCCTCCTCTTCACTTCCTCTTTCCTCTTCTCCCTTCACCTTCTCTTTCCTTCTTTCTCTCCCTTCACCTCTTCTTTCCTCCTCTTCTCTCCCTTCACCTCCTCTTTCCTCCTCTTCTCTCCCTTCACCTCCTCGTTCCTCCTCTTCTCTCTCTTCACTTCGTCTTTCCTCCTCTTCTCTCCTTCACCCCCTTTTTCCTCCTCTTCTCTCCCTTCACGTCCTCTTTCATCCTCTTCTCTCCCTTCACCTCTTCTTTCCTTCTCTTCTCCCCTTTCACCTCGTCTCTCCTCCTCTCTCTCCATTCACCTCCTCTTTCCTCCTCTTCTTTCACTTCTGCCCTTCTTTCTTTGTCTCTCTTTCTCTCTCTTCGAATATTTCTTACTTGAATTCATAAATGCATCCGGCTTCTTTGCTCGCATTTTGATAAACACTTAAAAAAAAAAGAAAGAAAACAAAAATCTCGACCTTCACAAAAATATTCTTCATCAACACTTTACCGAACAACTGAGCTGGAATAAAAACTCTCAAGTTCTTGATAAACTTACCCGCGATAAGCTAAATCCAAGACAATCCATTTCCAAAGTCTGTTTATTTGTCTTTCAATTATTTAATTGCCTCAGTAGATAATTTGTCTCGTCAGATTTCTTCACTTGCTGGGACGTAGGAACCCGCTTCAGAACGTCTTCATTGGACAAACAAATCCTAAAGTAGAACCAGCTACAAAAGTTTACGCATTGATAAATTCCAATCATTCGAGGCATTTATTTACCGATGTTTGTATGGATGTATCATCAACCTAAAAAATTCCTTGTACAAGAAACGTTTATTCGTGGAAAATAATCGGTGAAAAATGAAAATAAACGCATTATTTACGTGACTTAACAGTAAAAAAAAAAATTATAAAGAACGCTTTGCAGTTGTTACAAAGTATCACTAACAGATCTACCAACCGAAAACTGTTAAAACCTTCAATCTATAACTTCGGCAAAACAGAAAGATTTTTACCAAAACCAGGGAGACACGGAAGGATTAAAAAATTAAAAAATTTTAAAAAAAAACGCCCAAAAATGTTAACTCGAAAACACCATTCTTTATTTCAACTGGAAACATGATTCTAGACAAATAAAGCCGCTTCAAACCAAAGTTTTCTTTCTAAATAAATCCCGATTCAGTAAAAATCTGCTCACGAAAAACGTTAAACCGAATCATAGCTCGAAAAGATGAGACGGTTTTCAAAAGGCACTGATATTCAGAGAACTTTAAACGATTATTCGGTTACTTATTTTAGTGTACCATTTTACTTAGAGTTATTGCCACGTGACGCAAACAATAGAAAGTGCATTATTAAAACAAATTAGCCGTAAATAATCAACAGTGACTTTTTATAGCCAACTGTCACTTATTGTCAACCAAGAAGACGGTTTTACGGTTACATAAGTAGCGAAGTAATCGTTTTAAGTAACGCGGTTAATCGAAATAAGTGCTGTGAAATTTGCAAAAAATATATATATACGGACGAAATAGGAAGTATTTTCACTCGGCAACTCTTTTAAGGGAGAAAGCTCGACAATTTATTTAAAGGGAAAATCTTATAAAAATTGGCAGATCTGGAGTTGACAGTTGCGGACTGGGTTTCAAAACTGGCTTCCAATTTCAAGGTAAATAAAACGTGTACACCCAAAACAGGAATATTGGACACATGCAAACTTTGTTAAACAAGTTACATTTATATGCTTATAAAATCCTACGACCCCTGATAGATGTATCCTTTATAACTTCATTTCATTTTTTGACACTCTTTGTTATCTAGACGTTGAGAATTCTGTCAGAATGCAAGTGTTGTCCGGCAGTGGTTAGTTATTTGTTTATGAAATTACGCGGTAATTGTTCAATTCTGTAATGAATGACATATTGGGAACAATGAACAATTGTAGAATTTCTTACTTATTTTATTTTAACCCTCGTTGAATTTGATTTTTGCAAGAATTTCCAAATTAATGTGTTTTTCAACTGAAAAAAGCGCTAAAATCTAATGGTAAAACGTGACCGCTGACGTAAAAAAATTTTTTTAATAAAAATGTCAAACGTGCTAGAAAGGATTAAAATATTTTAAAAAATAATTAAAAATACTTTGGTTTTTCCTCTTAATAATAATATAAACATTTTAACGATAAAACATTGCTTTTCTTAAGTTTGGGACCTTTTTTCATCATTCTATGCAGTTTTTTTCGGCGAATTACTGAACATACCTACATAAGAATGAGCATATTCAAGAAACAGGAATTTAAGTCTATATAACTTTAGAATACAATTCAAATGAATTTGACTCCTTTCAAATTGAAATAATATTTACACGCTTTAATCCTATGTTAAGTGGAGGATAATCTCTATATTTCAACCTACATCGACTATTATAAGCTGCAGGCTACGGTCCCCTGAAGTTGAATTATAAAAAAAATCTGTTTTTTTTTTGTTTTTGTTTTTTTTATTATCGTTGTATTGAAATCGATGCTAATTTGGTTTGCAATAAATTAGGAACCTCCTCTAAAATCGCGATGCCTGAAGTTTAAATTAATTTTTAAAAATGAAAAAGCTTTCATGTTAACTTTAATTGAAAGTTAAAGGATTAAATTTACTATTTCCAATGAGCAAAATACACTGGTGTGTTGCAAACAGAAAGTATATTGAAAGAAATCGATTTTAGTTTTGTTTTGCTAAAATAGCTGATTAGTCATCTTTTATCAAAATCTAATTCTCTTTATTAAAAATCTTCCAAAAATAAAATATATTTTTCTGAAACTTTATTTAAGGAATATTAGCTGATTTAAAGTATAATTAATCTGAACTGAAACTAAATATTTACTTTAAGTATAAAATACTGCAAAAATTAATTTTTAAGCAAACATTATCAGTGTTTTTAACCGACAGTAGACACGTTTACATCTTTGACGAGGTGGTGGCAGATTGATTGTTGTTCTACTGAGACTTTATCTGTAAAACATAATTTTAAACTTAAAAAATTATTAAAATATTCTTCGTATGTTTTATTGAATTTTATAAATTTCGGTTTTAAATTTAATATAGTTATCGGTTTTATTTTCTGATAATGTCGCATATAGTCTACTGTACTTACAGAGTTGTCACGTTTATACACTAATAAAATATTTTAAAATTCTTTTATAAATCTTGGTGCGTAATTATTTGCATTCAATTTTTGATTAGCAAATATAATTTTCACTTAATAAGAATATCACCTTACGCCATCAAAGTAATGCAGAAATTTAAAAGATTTGAAACTTTATAAATTATTATAATTAAAATTTTAAAAAATTTAAAACATTTCTTGTAAAAATTCATTATTGATTGAAAATCTTTTTCTTTTCTTTTTTTTTTTTTTAAGAGAATAGTATCCTTAATATATGGAAGTGGTTGGAAGACTGGACAAGTCTTCTACCTATCGCATTCTAGAACGAAAAAAGGAAGTGGGAGCTTTTTCGGTTCTTTTATAATCCTGAAATAGTACTACCTGGCGGGTATCTTGGCAGACTACGTGGGTGAATCCTACACATGTAGATAAAATATCAGATTAAAATATAAAAGAAGAACCAAAGTACTATAACCCTACTCAGTGGCACACAAGGTCTAAGGGAAGCAAATTATTCGCATTTCCGTTATCAATATGTCTATTGCCAACGACAAAGTTTCCATTTATATTTTTATGGTGTTTGGTATTTTTCTGGTTCTTCTTGGAACATTTGGTAATATCTTATCTTTAATTGTTCTCAATCGAAGCGCTTTACGTCGTTTAAAGATTCGCCCTTATTTAATAGCTCTGGCTGTCTTCGATTTACTTGTGTTGTATGTTACTTTTTTACCAGCGCTAATTATTATCACTCACGGAAGTCAGGGAAAACGGCGAACAGCCATTCAGTGCAAACTAACAATATATTTTGCTTTTTTAATTATCGATTGTTCGTCGTGGATAACTGTAGCCATTACAGTCGAGCGTCTATTGTATGTTATTCGGCCGCATATGGTGCGTCCACAACGAGGTACGGCGATCGCCCTTTCTTTAACAATAGGTCTAGTGGCCATAATCAATATTCCTATAGCTCTGGGTTGGACCTCGGTCGACGGCAAATGCAATGTTGCTCAAGTCTATTACTTGATTCATTTTATAGTCTGTAGTTATATCCCGGCTGCTATCATGGTGGCGTCTAATATATTCATTACCTACACTCTTTGTCGCCGTCCCAAACTGGGGTCGGGTACGTCGACTCAACGTGATAATACTATTCGGATAGCGATGGCTATAAATTTAGTTTTTTTATGCACCTCTTTTCCGGTGTCGATAGTTTGGGTGATTGTAGAGCGGCTTTATCTGCCTCTGTATTTAATGCATTATGCTAACTACGCTGTAAACTTCGTCATGTATATCATAGCCGGACAAATATTTAGGGAGGAACTCAAGGCTATGTTTAGTAGTGCTAAATCCGTATGTTGCCAAAATTCGGACACATACTCCATTTCGGTTAATGCAGCAACAACAGCAACAGTTTCCACTACCGATACCTCAGTCTAGGTTAGGAATGGGCAACCTTTTTCGATCAGTAGATTGCATTAGATTTGGCTCATCTGAAGGCGGACTGCACTACTAATTAAAATTTAAAAGTTTATAAGTTATTCTAACTGAAATAAAAAAAAACAATTCTTGTAAAAATTCATTATTCATCGAATTTATTTACTTAAGACAATAGTGTATATACAGTGTAACCCGGATATAAGAGACCCTGATATAAGAGAAACCCGGATATAAGAGAGATTTTCTCTGGTCCCAAATTAGAGCCCGTACTTACCTAAACAAAATAGACCAAACCCGGATATAAGAGAAACCCGGATATAAGATACTTCTTCTCCGGTTCCGACAACTCTCTTATATTCGGGTTACACTGTATTCATAAAAACATTTCTAATAAACGTCTTAAAAGTAAGCTATTACTTAATTTAATTATTTAATTTAATTATTTTAATTACAATGCATTTAGAAATGCGTTTTTTATTTTAAGATTCAGAGCAGATTTTCTGTAACAGGGGTTCCTGTTTGACCAAAAGAATTTGATGATTTACACTCCTAGGACTTGTCCTTATAACTAATAAACATTAAGCGCTACTAAAAAGAATTTCTCGAAATTTCATAGAATTAAATAAATATGGGGTAACAAATGTAAAAAGTATATTTTTCTAAAAAAGGAAGAAACGTTTAAAAATAATTTAATTCATTTGTAGATAGCTCCTAAAATTTTCATTAAAATCAGACAATTATATAATTTTTTTAAGAATTTCCAAATCAATGTAGTTTCACCACAAAAAGACGCCCGAATTTGCCATACTAATTTAAAATCCCATGTTGACGTTTCCAAAAAAATTAATTTTTA